ATATAGAAAAGTGCATTTAAGTAAAAAAAATTTGAGTTTATTAATATTTTCTTATAAATTTTATTTTATTCGATAAAAAAATCTACTTTAATCTGTGAAGTAAAAAAAAAATTAAGCCTAATTGATTCTTTTCTAATCTCATGTAAAATGAAATCTTCCTTTAGTAAATTGTAATAATCAAATAATAAAACATTATATTTCGTTTGCTAGAAGTTTTATATGTAAATATATATTCTTTTAGCTACACATCACACATTTATGTAAGATCGTGCGGCAGGAGGAATTGTGTGACTTGCTCTCAACTTGAATCTTGAAAAAGAGACTAAGCCCATTAGTCTTTCCAATAAACCAAACTCTTATTGTTATAGCAATTAAGGGATAAACATTTTGGGGTTTCAAAAATACAGGACTGTATTTTGATTTCTGTCAAACGAAACTGTCAAACCAAACGTGTTTTGTTTTATTAAAAGTTCAGGCATTTATGTAAATAGATCGCTCAATAATTGCACAGTACGAAAAGTTGTTGAGAGCCACTACAAAATAGTGAATCACAAGTTTCGTGCTTTAAGAGGAAATTACGGTGCATAAAATCGTCCAAGTACTTAAGCAATTGATAAAGTTTAAAAGAAAATAAAAAAACCCGAAAAGGATGCAAGTATTTGTAAGACCTGTGCATTATCGGTTACCTCGTGCCGCCTCAAGTATCACTATTGTAGGGGAGAGTATAGCCGAAGGCCCGAATGAGTCTATTACTGGACTCTCTTAAGATCTGGAACTTTCTTACGTCACATTATAGCATATTTAGCACATCTATATACAGTTCAGCTCATACTACAATTGAAACCAGCTGATCCGTTCACAATGCCGTACATACGACGATTGGGTGCTTGAACCATAAAAAGTGGTCAGGTTTTTCGGAAAAAGTTTTCTTCAGCCACGAGACACGTATATATGCAAATTTTTAAAATTTGGTATTCCAGCAACGCTCAAACAATTTAACAGGATACTACATGCCAAAAAAACCTACTGTCTGGTCTTTAGTCCGCAGGTGTGATTGGACTTAACTTCTTTGAAAATGGGCTGTCACTGTCAATTCGGAGCATTATGACCATATGATAACCGTCTTTTATTGGCCTCGAAGAACATGATTCGAGCAGACACACAGCACGAGAGAAAATTTGAAGAAATATCCCACCATGATCGTGCAATATGACACCGTTGCACGTTGGAAATTTGTTGAGGGACTACGCGAAAGGCCGCGTTTGTACGGATAAACCTTTAACACTTAAGCACATGAAAACACTATTCGTTGAGTTATGGCTGGAATACCGCCCAATATGTGCCAAAACTTTGGTCGAAAATTACCTCCAGCGCGGCGTGGTTTGAAAAAATTTGCGAGGCGCTCATCGGAACAGTTTAGTATTTCACATATAATGAAGGGTTCAAATTTTATAATACAAAAAGAACATTATGAGAAAAATTATTTGAAAATAGTTTTATTTACGTTTTTCTTCGATACTGCAAAAGGAATAAGCATATAAATCTCTGTTATTTGTACTCTTAGCAAACTCTGTTTAAACTCATCGTTTTCTGCTATTTGCGTGCTTGGTATGTAAACACAAATTAAAATTTTGAAAAAAAAATTGCATAAATATAATGAAATAAGTAGAACAATCTAATTCAAAATGAGTCCAGCGACTATTATTTGTATTTTTATAGAGAACTCAGTGAAGCAAAAACAGTGGCAGTAAACGAAATCAACTCAATTTAACAAGAAGAAAATAAAATTTCCCATGGTTGTGAGATTGGTTGCTCATACACATTGTCACATACGTACATAAGCATTGAAGCAGTGCTTAAAACCTTACAGGCGAAGTAAATTAATATCGATGTATATGTATATGCTCGTATGTATGTATAAGTTTAAGTATGTATATCGCTGATGATTGTGATACTAATGACTATGCCAGCGATTGCTATAGTGATTGATCATAGTGAATACGAAGGAGACAAATTGCGTAGTTTGTTTATTTTCACGTCTCCGTTTTTTATTTTTCTTTTTTAATTTTACTACACTTATAGTACGTGGGAAAATTTTAGACTCTTAAAAGACTTATACTTATAAAATTTGTGGAATAAATGATAAGCGCATTGAAGAAAAGTGTCTAATAGAAAAACATACAACTGTCATTCCATCGTAATCCTTCATAAGCCAGATGATTCAATGAAAGAAGCTGCAACAACACGATTTTTTTTATTATAATCTCAGTATTCGCTGGAACAAGATGAATATTACCTTGCACTACAGTTATAGAATAAAGAATAAGATCCACACTGCATTACGCTCCTTAGTAGTAGTTTATTTTCCAATTAAACAGGAGAGGGCATAAATGTCTGGCATTATGTGTAATTAGCGATTGTTCGCCTGTACTTGAACTTGTAAGTATGTATGCATGATTTCTGAGACTGTTTTCATAATGCGGGATGTGATTTTGTATATGACTAGCATTTTCTATACCAAGTTGACAATGAGTGGGCAGATTTGTTGTAAATGGTGAATGAGTGATGCAGCATTTCAAAGTATTTATATTTTATCTAGCTAAAATTAGACTGACCACAATTGACGAAAGTATATTTCCATACTTTGATCCACAGGTATATATTATGTTTTTTATATTCAGACGATGTCATGATAATTAAAAAAAATCGAAGCGTATTAAATCGTTTTATTAACCATTTAAATATGACGCACCGGTTTTAAGAGTTAAAACAAAAGTTTTAACTAAAAACTATTAATATCTCGTAAAATATATTTACCAATTCGATCGATCGCTTGCCAAGACTCTAAACAAATATTTTTTTTTATATGTTTATATCATTTTTTTTTCGGAATTAAACTTGTTTATACGGAAAAAGGGAGAAAACTGGAACTTTCCCCAGAGAAATTTTGTTTTGGTGCCGATATTTAAAAAAAATAATGATATCTTTACTCTACAGGAGTCAGTCCACTATACTTATCATCTACAGGCTTTTGTTATTAATTATTTTATTCCTTTTAATTTTTTAATATTTATTTACAAAAAAAAATGATGCTTTGTTACCGCTGAAACGATTTTCCGCCGAGCTGCTCCTCCAATTTGTGGTTTTGCGTCTTGATGTTTTCCAACAAATGGACACATTTACAGCTAAAACTAAAACGCCTCCGTTATGATTTTTTTATGAGGGAAAACCCTGAGTGGGGTTAATGATTCCTGCCGAGGGGCGTCTGCAACTGGCCTTCCAAATGGGGAGTGCGCAATGCTAACCAATAAATATATATTAAAATTTGTATACAACATTGAGACAACAACAAGCAAGCAATAAACAAAAACGTCGTAGAATTCGAGCTTTTCCAATAATCCTTTTTTTTTATGTTTAAACATTTACCAAACGATATGTATAAAAAATGTCGGTGAGATAAGCCCAGATGGTCATATCCACAACCGATTCAAATGTTAAGGAAGAGTAGAAAACTGAAACAGAGATTTGTGGAACTGCACTTTATCAGGATGACGGTAAATATGTCGAGATAGGCCAGAAAATTTTTGGAAAAATTTAAGCATAAATATTAAACAACAATTTTCGTTTCAAAGTTTCTTAATTTTCACCAACAATTCGTTGCTTGAGTATTGCCGAAGAGCAACCGAATGAATTTGCATGGTAACACATCGTGCATTCTAAAAAATATTCTCAGTTATTGAAAAACGATGCATAATATTTACCATAATAACTCATCTCTCATCATATTGTATTTTACTTGCAACTTTTTTTAATCAGATTTAGTAACCGAGAATTTATGTTACCAAGATTGAAAAGACCCATGCATAAATTACATTATTCAATGATCAAAGAGAAACCAAATCGATTTATTGTTGAAAGAATATTAAAGATCTTTTTTCCACTCTTAAATCAAATTTATAAGCTTATAGTGGTATAACAATTGCTGTGCACGGATTGATAGTGTTAAAAAAATGATTTAATTAGTGTTTAAGTTGCACGACTCTCACTTACTGCCAATCATGATTGTTTAGTGGCTGCTTAATAACAATCAGTTTTTACTTGATTGAATATATTGCTCATAAATTGGAATTTATTAATGTAATATTTTATTAATATATATATATCTATTGCACCTAAATAGATTATATATATAGAGATATATATACATCCATATCATGGTTCATGCCTCGCCGAGGGACTCCATCAGTTCCTGGCTGTGGCGAATGATTTGGCTGGTGATGAATAAGGCTTCAGAGAAGAATGTGTAAATCGATTGTCGAAATATCTTTCTAATAGAACCAAGGATAAAAAGTATGATAAGTAAAGTCTTCAATTTGGTACAAAAATAATGAAATACTCTCAACTAGACGTAATATTTCTATAAAATTTGCGGCTCTGTTTCACATAACACACATTTAATATGAGAACATAAAGGGGGATTTTTTAGCTGTTATATTTTTGGCAACACTGGTTTGAACAGCTGAAGCATGTTTCGTGTTTTGTATCACTGTCATTAACATCTACAGTTTGATCCAATTGACGAATTGGAGGACAACATTGAAGATTTTATTTTTGAGATACCGGCCGAAATGGTGGGAAGAGTATGCCATTAAGCGAATGGACCATTTGTGGCGCAGTCACGGTCAACATTTGCATGAAATAATCTTCAAAAATTATATTAAATAGGCTGTACTATCGATTCAAAAAAAAAAAAAAAAGATTTCATAAGTTTTTCTAAATTGTAAGTGTGTTTTTGTTTTTTTTTTTTTTTTGAAAAACTTCCAATAGATCTTAAAAATCACCCTATATTATAAAATAACACGTCTCAACATCATATCTGTTTCGCAGCTTTATGAGAATACAAACAAGCTGATTATTTACCTAAAATTACTTTAACGGTTTAACTATTGTATTTTTGCTGAAATTATATTCTTACGTGCCAAAAAAAAAACCGATCTTACCTATTTTATTTTTTCATAGGTGTAGCGACGAAGATTCTGTTTCTCATATTTTAGTTTCGCTTTCAATTTTGTCATATTTTTCACATATTTTTTGTTTATTTTTTTATTATTATTTATTATTATTATTTTTTTTTTTTGTTACCGCTGTTACGCTTATTTTCTCACATTCTCTCGCACACAATTTTCTTTACTTCCGTTTGACTTGCACAAAATTTAATTACATTTCACTTCACTTATTCCTGACACGTTTTCAGCGCACACATTATCGGATGTTGCGACACATAAACACATACTTAGAATTTTTAGCCAGCTGGGAGTTAGGTTAGTGGTTCAATGATAACTTAAATTTGATATTTTGTGGCATATACTTATTTTTTCTTTAAGTTGTGAACCTTTTATTAATTTATTGTTACATTTTTGTTGATAAAATCTCCTTATTGTTTTATATATTCCGCTCGTAATAGTTTTTTTAGCACATACAATTTGTTTTTTCACTTTTTTGCTTCCACATTTCTAAGGTTTACTTTTTCGCCATTACTTAATACTTTAATGCAGTGGCTTATTGAGCATGCCTATCATGCACCTTCTGGCGAGATACAGCTGTCAATGCCAATGCCAAAAATTGACAAAAAGGTAACTGTGACATTTTTCACAATACACTTTTTCAGATTAATTTTTTCCACATTTGTTTAGGTTTATTCCTTTCATCTGCACATGTTGCCAATGCCTTGTATGTATCATATATACTGATGTTATGGTATTTTATTTTTCACAATATTTATAAACAACACGTACGCCTACAGCAAATTTGTTCCACGAATCGGGTTAAGTAGAAGATTGTTATACCCGTTTGCATAGTGAGGCATACATGTGCTGTATCGTTTGACTACTCAGCTGCTAAGCCGTTATAATGGCGATTACAAATAGGCACTATACCACTGACTCCTCACTACGGTATGTCATATGGGGGGTACCAGTTAGTCGGAGCACACACTCAGACACAGCAAATTTAGAACACTTTAGGCTGATTGTGTCTGAAAGTGCGACACAGTCACCAGCAAACCGACCGAATCACACTTGGTACAACAAAAACGTGTGACCTGAACGACGAAACTCAGCCTCAGCCTTAGTGTGGCAGACATTCAAGTTGGCTACGCGTGACAATCGAAGGACGACAGAGTGGCGCCTTGAACACGCCAAGCAACGGAAACACGCAAGTAAACACGCACACACGCACGAATGGTTACACTTTAATTGAATGCCTGTTTGCCTACTTGAAACGCTTCAACTTGCATACGGTTCCATACCAAGTTGGAGCAGCTGTTTTTACACATTAACACAAACAACACACACACACACACACACTTAATTGATTTGCTTTTAAAGATTGCTGACCAAATTGCTGTAAGTGAGCACTCATACGCATCGGTCGGCCTAATCAGTGCACACACCGCATTCGTGTTGCATGAACATATGTATATATGTATGTATATGCCGGTGTGTCGAATTTTCAAAATAGCCACAAATTTACGCCAATAACAGTAAATGCTTCTATTTATTTTGCTGTTGTTGTTATTATTATTGCTGCAGTGAACTCGTCAAAGTGACTAAGGGTTCACATCCTCGTCGCAGCTGGTAAAAATCATTAACGTACAGCCTTAGAGCGTATTTCAACTTTTCGGCCATTTGATTGACACATTAATAAGTTTTTAAGCAAAATTCACTAATCAGCTTCGGCACTCGAATGTATGAATGATGAGTTTGATTTTTCACAAATTTTTTTTTCACCGCACGCCAGAACACGTTTTAGTATTAACCGAATTATATAATATCTTCGTGCCACGCTCAACTGCGCTTTTTCATTTCAAGAATTCACACAAAATTATTCGGGATTTCCGTTTTTATAAACAATTTTCTACTAAGCGCCGTCAATGCGCTACGCGTATCCGCCGTCTGTATGTGTACATCCATACCAAACAACACAAATATCGAACATCAACTGATGAAAGCACCTTGCAAATGCCGAGAGTTCGGAACCGCGGAAATGGCCTCGTGTGCTTAATGCACGAGTGAAATTAGCATTTCGTATGAGCAAACTGTGTACAGCGACATGGTTTCCCAGTGCTTAGTATCGATAGAGCGCAAAGTACTGCGCATGCTTATAAAAGGATGTACTCTCGCGTGCTGCAGGATATGTCATATGAGAAAACATATTTCCCCCTATTTGGTGTTGGAGAAGCAATTTTAGAAATTTTAGGACTAGAGGAGAAACAATCCCTACTTTGGAGACTTAACAACCATTGCATGAAAATATTATGCTTTAGTGGCGTTGTGATAAGTAATAGCCTTAAAAGTGTTGACAATTTTAGCAAGTTCAAGTAAAGTATAATAAACGTGGGTATGGCAGGTTCGATACTGTAATAATCGCCTAGGGCGTGAGTTCAATAAATATGCTAGTAACATACAGAACAGTTATATATTTCACACTAAATAGATAATGCCTAATAAGGTTGTTAACGGTTCGCCGAGAGCGCTAATCCGATCGTGGCAGACAGTAAAGTATAACTTCGTATCCCTTGACCTGAGGATACTCAATTAGCCAGCCTTATTTTTGCCCACCCATATTCTTAAATAATTAACAAAACTACCGAGCTCAATATATTGTGAATAATCTTCTATGAAAGTTAGTCTCAACAAACAGGCCATTCTGCTTCTGCTTTTAGGCGCAACATAGTGAAAGGGTCTGGTAGTGAACATGAGCGAGAGGAAATATCTTTTGTAATCAAACAAACAGTGAGCGCACACTCTATTTTGGGCATCCAAGTCATCATCACCAATATAATATGTACAACTTTGAAGTAAATAATTTCGTCTATCTTCTTTACAAGTCGCTCTGCAGAACAGAGACGACGACAACATCCGCTGAGTCTGCTTTAGGCGATTAGGAGGTAGATGCTTTGTAAGCAGAGTACGGTGTCTATATTTATTATAGCCACCTAGGTCCTTAAGTGTCGTCAAATAAACAAATCAATCAGTTGAATCAATCAAAATTCGACAAAATTTTGGCAACGTATTTGGGCTGTCATACTTCTTTGTGTTAACTAAATTTTTATGCTTAGGTTAATAAACTAAGAAGAATTTTCAAAGCTAACAGTAACAAATGGTCACCAGATTTCCGGGTTCAAAAGATTAATAACATAAATTAAATATTTATTATGATGTACTATAGAAATAGGGCGAGTTTAAAAAGTGTTTGCAGAGAGTGGCAACTTGCTTGACAATTTTAATTGCGACCATTTGAAAGGATTTTGGTGGAGATTTTCGAAAAAGTTCCTAACCATTTTTCATTGCTATATTTGTTACTGTATCATTCCATGGAGAGTAAAGCCAACCAATCCGGGCACCGTAGCATGTATTTCTTAGACTAAACGAATATCCCTAATCGATAAGTTGGGGAATGTCTGACGACGCATCTAGGCTCTTAGGAGGCCCATTCTGAAGCTAAGATCCTCTCATGCTAACATGTTTTCTCTAAAGCATCCTCTTGTCTTGATAAAATTAATTAACTCAAAAAGTTTTAAATTTGTAGCCTCCGAAATATCGTCTAGAAAACATTGACTTATAGTTGCAAATCTGCAAAATAATTATGTGTCCTGTTAGCACTTCTATTATAGTTCTTATGTCATTCCTTTAAAATTTCAACGGTCGGCATGTGTTGTCAATATTTAATTCTGGACACAGTAGTCTGATAGTTGAACAATTCGGGGTTTGTTTCTGCGGGTACATATAAATACAACAAATTGTCATAGACCGCTTGTTGTTGTTCCACACACTTTAATCTAGGTATTTGCTTACGCAATAGTTATATTCAAGCACTGAACACATAGCAAAACTGGCTGATTGCTGAAAACTGGGACAGCATACATCCAACAGATTTACAAATATCTGACGATCATAAGCCAAGAAAACCCGAAAAAATCTCCTAACCTTAACCATGTATAAACTCACAAACAAACACTTTCTATTTGACATCAAAAGCAGTATTATGCCCTTGTTTTTTCTCTCGTTCCATACCTATTAATTGCTTTGAGTAAGCGGCAGCTCTGCCCACCCCAACCCCAACGCTTCCGACGACTAAATATGTAACTTACAAGACCCACTACCATCCTTGAACATTACATAAGAAAAACCGATAAAAATCCACCGGATCTATATCAGAGTATCACCCCATGCACTCGGGGCATAAAACCCGATTTTGATATTATTCAGCATGTGTTATTTATGTATGTGCATATGTATATTATTTGGTGTGTTTTGGCACATAAGAAGGTATGCGAGTTTAAAATGTTTAGCAGTTCGAGTATTCTATAATGTATATTTTTAGTTAACATTTTAAAATGCAAAAACTAATTTCCTAAATATTTTAATAACAATATATTAAATTATTTCACAAGTATTAGCAAATATGACACATAATAAGCAAGTACATGTAATCAATTTAAGTACCGTTTAAAATATTTTACGAAATTCCAATCTATCACAAAAAAGCTGAATGAAACCATATTAATTTTGCTAAAATTCCAACATAATGACCAACAACCAAACCTTATGAGCATTGACGTTGTTTTTACTACCAATAAAAATAATAACGGGCAATCTGTAAAGAAAAGTAATCAGTAAATAGTTATGGCAAAAATTCCAGCTTACAACATATGTGCCAAAAAGCTAAAACCGGGAATTTATTTTTGAGAAATTATGCAAAAAGAGTTGAGCTAGAACGTGACCCGGCTTACAACACACTTCTCGGGTACTTGATTTTTGGTGGACTTTGTTTGACGTTGATTCTTCGGTTTTGGCTCAGTTTGTAGTCTTTGCTCAAAAGCTTCTTGAAAAGTTTACTTAATTCTTGCCTTTTGAAAAGTGGATTTTGTAAATCTAGCGTCGGGACGTAAATTATCCACCTCATCTCGACCACTTTTGAATAATTTATACCCTTCACATGTAGATGTTTTGCAAAAGTCGAATCACCGCCAGCCTCCAGCACAATTTTCAGCGGCTCGATAGACATTTATCTTTTTCAATTTTCATCCATAGAACTTCCTGAATTTTAGTAAAGTTTTTAAGTAATAGAAAACAGATGAGACAATATAGGCCCTTAGAAGCGATTTCTACGAACTTATTAAGTATTTTCGTTTACTTTGTATTGAAGAAATTGTCAGTTTATATGTTTTCTAACACTTTTGAAATATTTTGATTAAGTTACAAAATAGCAACGCTCATGAATTTACACCTTCCTTCGTACAGACATCAACTGCCTATGAAACGGTCATAATCAAGCATAGCTTTCCCCAATATATGACTTTATGTTCCTGATTTGACGCAGCTTTAGACTGAGTACACAATTGCATCCGTATTGAATATACGTGTAGGTGGCTCAATCATGATTTCTATTCAAAATCATTGAAATGTAATACATTGAGCGCCTAAAAGCTGGCTTTTCGTAGCTTTTGAATTCTATTCCGCTTCCGCCTAATAGCGCATCATTGCACCTAATGATCTCAGATAGTCTGTTCACCGCCATACACAGTGCGGAGTAGCAGTCAGAGTGTGCAAAACAATATGAAATGCAAATAAGCTAAAAGAGAAATCATTTGCCGATACATAAACTCCACACACACAGATACACAAACGGCATTAATAAATGTGAAATTTAGTTTCGTGGTTGCGTGTTTATTGATCATGTCATAATCATACTCAGATTTGCATATTATTGTAATAGTAGCTGTTGGTGGCATTCTAGGCCACCGTTCGTGTATGTATTTATTTATGCGTGTGTGAGTTCTTTAGTGAGTTCAGGCAGCATAGAAGTTTTATGAATTTTATATGAACTTTTATGGTAAACTTAGTATGTGTAGTCACATTTCCATATTTAAATTTGTATCGCAGTGCATATACGTACGTATATGTATATATGGTGGCTTAATTGCCCTGTAGGAAAAGATAGTATTAAGACTTTAATATTTGCGCTATCACATTTCCTTGTAGCATACAATCTAATTGATGCTTTCAATCAAACTAATTAATTGCGATCCGATTTTTGTGGTCATCTAAATTGATCAAGGTTTGGTACTTAATATATTCCAATGTTCTATGTTGAACTTGAATTTCCTTATTTTTCGGAAGCGGCTGTCACCCGGTGCGTTTATTATATATACCGTTTTTTGGCTATTTTTTACATTTGCTGCTTTTAAATCTCTGAAGCTTTTTTCGGCATAGCTTGTCCCTCAATTGGTATGGTGGTATGCGTCTTGCTGTTTTTCTAACAAATGGAGTGATGTTGAGTTTATACTAAGCTTCATCCGAATAGCTGATGGTTTTTTATGAAAATCTTTTAAACTTCATATTAGAAATACTCTGTTAGGGATAGACATTACACAGCTATGGATGACCGCTTTACTTTTTTATATTTTTGAATATTGTTCTGGCCAGAACTCACACTGAGTATTCAGCTATTGCGCTTATAACGCTTATATACACTTTTCCGTCATTCTGCTTGGTTATCTTACAGTTAAATATGAAGTGCCATCTTATGCTAATATTTGCTTATATTGTTGGTATAACTTTCTTCTGATCATGGTATTAACTCTGCTTCAAATTTGGCAAGAAAAGCCTTCTACTTGGTCAGCTCAGCTTTTTAGTTTCGGAAGATATTTTGGTAACGGGGAATCCAGACTGTGGAGATGTCAAGTAGACCTGTCAGCAAGTTTAAACAAATTTTTAGCAATTGATAGGTGAGCTCGGTGGACATTTTATTTCACGTTCGGGACGGGTCAATTGGTCGTTATTTTACGCCTGTAGACTATTTTTTGTTGGCTATGTTAAATATATTTTCTATACAGACCATCTCGCTTCAATTGACGCATTGGAGGAAAACATTGTAGCATTTATTCGCGAGATACCGACCGAAATGTTGGAAAGGATATG